CAGCTATATTTCCTTGCAGGTAGACAGTAAACGCTTCTCCTTGCATTTTCCTTTCAGACCATAAACAGAAAAGAAAGTTTCTGAGGAACTATCAGATAGACCAATGCACATACAGAGACATATGATTATCAGTTTAAATTAATCTTTTTGGGATAGATTTATTCTTTGCTGTCTTTCTAATAGGCTATCCTTAAAAAAAAGGAACATAACCAACCAACCCTATTGCTGTCAAGTTGATTCCAATTCACAGTGAAGCTACAGGACAGAGCAGAACTACCCTCATTGGGTTTCCAAGGCTGTAAATCCTTATTGGGCCAGACGGTTCATCTTTCTCCAGAGAGACACTGGCGGGTTACTAGCCTAGCACTTAACACACTGTATCACCAAGGTTCTTAACAGTTCTTAATAAGTGATAATTAGTCTTATTAAATTGCTAATTTTCCATACTGACTTTGGCTCCATAGTTCAGTCAGTAATAGCATGTTAGTATTTTAGCTAAAATTATCTTTTATAAAATATAATTAATTCAGATGTTTTATAATTGAAATAATATGCACCTATGTGCCCTTCTAAGAACCATTACTGGGCACAAGAATGTGGTTGTCTCAGGAAAAATAATCACTAGGCAGGAAAACAACATAAAGAACATGGTGTAATGAGAATAATATGGCTAAACATACTTGGTTATTGCTGTGCATTTCCTGAGGAAAGGGAAGTTGCAAATAATTTCCTTCATTTCTACAAGACTACTACTATTTCATATGCAAGGCAGCTTTATTTAAGATGCTGAGAATACAGAGGAAGTGGCATAAGATACATAGAAATTTACATGTAAATGAAATATATGGTATCTACAGTCATGTACCTGTCCAAATTATTGAAGAGCAATGATGTTAGTTTGAGGACTAAGGTGCACCTGATTTAGGCCATGGTCTTTTCAATCATGTGCTATGTTTCTGAGAGCTGGACAGTGACAAAAGAAGACAGAAGAATTAATGCCTTTGATTGTGGTACTGTAGAAAAGTACTGAATATCCTGTGGACTACCAAAAGAACAAGTAGATATGTCTTGCAGAAAGTGCAGCCAGAGTACTCCTTGGAGGCAAGAATGACAGTTTCACTTCTCAAACTTTGAACATGTTTTTAGGAGAGGCTATCATTTGGAAAATGACATCATGCTTGGGAAGGTGGAAGGTCAGCAAAAGAGAGGAAGACTCTCAGTCAGATGGACTGATACAGTGACTGCAGCTATAGGCTTTATTCACTATGTCAGGTAAGAGGATGGCACAGGATAGGACAAGGTTCAGATTGGTTGTTTCTAGGGTCACTATGAACTGTACTCAACTTGATACCACCTAACAACAATGACAAAACTGACTAGTATATAGAGATCACATCTTTTTACATTTTGTTTTATTATTTTTTGTGTGTACCATTAAATCGGATCTGATTGGCACAGGAGGAGATTGCCCCTGCTTTTCCAGCAGAGAATCTGGTGGATTCAAATTGCATACTCTGGGGTTGCAGTGTAGCTTCTTGCCACTAGGCCACCAGAGCTCCCTTAGGGAGCACATCTTATTAGTGCTTACCAAGGCCAGTCAGGAGGTAGCAGAAAGACCCAATGCTAAGGGACACTGAGCCTTAAGGATTCCAGAAATTTAGGAATGGTTAATGATGATGGCTGAACAGCATAATTAGATAATTGTTACTGAATTATACATGAAGATAATAGAAATAAAAAATGTTTTGTTACTTATATAATTATCTTAACTGAAAAAAAAATCACAACATTTTCTAGCAGCAAGTGCATGAGGAACATGAAGAAAGTATGGACTCTGTAGCTGGTTGCCTCCATGAAGAACTGCCTCTTCTGCCATGAGGCCAGAAAAACTGAATGGGTACCAGCAACTGTTATGGAATATTTGATAAAAGGTACCACGGAAAGATCCTGACCTAAAAGGGAACAATGCAAATCAAATTCCTGACTCTACACGTTCCATAGCCATGAAGAGTGAATGAACCCTGAAACAACTCTTTTTTTAAAAAAATTTTTATTATTTTTGTGTGAATGTACCGTCAAATCATATCTGACTAGTACGGGAGGAAATTGTCCCTCCTTCCCCGGCAGAGTATCTGGTGGATTCAAACCGTGCGCCTCTGGAATTGTAGTTGCAGGTCCTTGCCACTAGGCCACCAGAGCTCCCCTGAAACACCTCTTCTGAGATAATCTTTAAACCTGACACCAAAAATATCTCCAGAAAACTTCTTATAACCAAGGAACAGTTTAGCTGACTCAGTATTTAAAAAAACACCTGCCTTGACCATGCTCTTCTAAGAACATCTAGATGGAGATGGAGCTCTGGTGGTCTAGTGCCAAGAAGCTGCACTGCAATCCTGAAGATGCGTGGTTTGACTCCACCAGACACTCTACTCAAGGAGGGGAATCTCCTCCTGTGCGAGTTGGATCTGATTTGGTGGTATACAACAAGAAAGGAAAAAAACAAAACAAAACCCAACCAAGCAAAAAAGAACATCTAGATGGAAGTAAATGATACTCTCTTAAGAATTATCTTCTTGTTGTGTGCCTTTGAATCAGAACCAACCCATAGCTGACCCTCCAGCGGGTTTTCAGAGGTGTCTATGTGGGATCAAAGTGATAGTAGCAAGGAGGCAGTGAATCTACTTTAACGAGAGAAGAAGGAGGGTGTGAATGGCTGAACAACTCAATGAATTTAATCAAGGTCACTGAATTATACACGCAGAAACAGGAGCCCATGTGTTGTGGTGCTTAAAGTGCCCAACTGCTAAGCAAAAGGTCAATAGTTTGAAATAGCCAGTGGTTCATCAGGAAAAAAGATGGGGCAGTCAGCTCCGATATGGATTTACAACCTTGGAAACCTTGTGGGGCAGTTAAGTCTGTCCTACTGGATTGCTGTGAGTCAGAATCTATTCAGTATAAGTGAAAATTAGAAATTGTTGAATCATTGTATAGTTTGCTATATACATCACAACAGCAACAATAACAATTTAAAGGAGAACAAAAAAATATTTTTCTATTGTGAAATTAAGACTTTGATTTTTGAATGCAAAGTGAATCAATTTGTACCAAGGCAGAAGAATCAAAATTTTCTGTAGCCTGGTTTTGTTTTTCACCTAGCCATTTATGGGAATTTGTTCATTTTTCTATTCAAGAAAAATAAAAGGGGAACATTTTATGCTTCATCATTCATGCATAAATGTCAGCAGTTCTGGTTATAAAAGATTCCATTAGGCTAATGTTCAAGCCATTTTCTCTTGGTCCTTTCGTCAATAGCATAATTGTAGCAGCTGAATTTAGTGAATACAAATTGTGGAAGACATAATTCTAAATTCCCTGAATGATACCCCTGCATAATTCCCTCTCTGTATGTGTTAGCAGAATCTGTGCATCTGGTAGGATATTCCATGATTAAGTGACTGATAAGCTGACTGAATTAATCATAAAGGAGGGCTCAGGCCCACTTGGATAATATCCTTTTTGATTAACTCAAAGTCAACAAGCATGAGAACGCACATGGAAAGGCTATATATTAACAACTGTGATGGTCATCAGCAGTTTAGTGCAGAGGCCAGCTAGCTGTCTACAGTGGGGTGATAATATCAGTACTGCAACCTCAGGGGAACAGAATTCTGGAACAATCATATTTGCTTGGTAACAGTACGGTGAGTAGAAAGATACAGATTGCAGCTAACATCTTGATTCCAGCTTTGTGTTGTGATCCTCAGGCCATACCTAGACTTTTGACCTCAACATTTTAATATTTACAGAAATCCAATCTACGTGTATGTGTGTGAGTGTGTGTATATCTAGTTGCTGTTGAGTCAAAACCAACTCATAGCTGATCCTCCAGTGGGTTTCAGAGGCAATAAATCGCACGAGAGCTGACAGCCCGTCCTTCTCCCATACAGCAGCCTTCGGGATTGCAGTGTAGCTTGTTACCACTAAGCCACCATATGCATCTACATAGTTTTTGTTCAGTGATGTGGAGTCAAGTATGACTCATAGATACCCTATGAACAACAGATCTGAACCCTGCCACTTCCTATGTCATCTCCATAATTTCTGACATACTTGAGCCAACTGCTACAGTTAGTACATCAATCCATCTCGATGAGGGTTGCCCTCTCTGTCTCCTACCCACCACCTTTCCATGCATGATGTTCCTTTCCAAGGAATAACCTCTCCTAATAATATTCCCAAAGTATGTCGGATGAAGCTTTGTCATTTTTGCCTCCAAGGAGCAGTCTGGCTGCACTTAATACAAGACATATCTGTCTGTTCTTTTGGCAGTCCATGGGATATTCACTATTCTTTTCCAACACCACATATCAAAGGCATAATTTTCCTCCTGTCATCCATATTTTCCAGCTTTCAGATGCATAGCAAATGATTGAACAGATCATGGCCTACCTTAGTCTTCAAAATGACATCATTGCTCCTCAGTAATTTGGAGAGGTCACTGACGGCAGATTTTCTTAACACAATGCCTTTGACCTGCATAATGCCCTCCTCTTATATTGGCAGAATTTGTCATTATGATAGGATATAACCCCCATGATTAGGTGACTTCTAATCAGCTGACTCTGAATTAGACTTTGAACCGTATCACTTCTTTCATCTCACACACACACTCTGTGACTGCATAACAGAGAATTTAGAATTATAAAACCTAATGGTTCAACCTATCACAAAGACCTTATTTCTTACCAACCAACTAATAAAAAATATTTGCAAATTTTAGGATACTACTAGAAACTGACTAAATGGTTTAAATAATGGGGATAGTATTTTATTTTTAAAATTTTACTTTTCTTTGAAAACCTAAGACATATATAGTATGTAATGGTGCTATTGTTTACCGAATTATCTGATTCTGACTCAAAGCACCCCTGTAAGACAGAGTAGAACTGCCCTGTAATAGGGTATCCTCGGCTGTAATCTTTACACTCAGTTATGATTACCTTAATACCACGAACTTCATGTGCTATTCTGTGGTCGGTGACTCTATCCTGTGTGAAATTGTATGTCCGGATTCTTTCTGATTGGGCTCTTGTTCCCACCTGAACCATAACAAATAAAGTTAATTTTAAACTCATAATTACTTTCATCACGATATAAAAAGTACTTGAAAGTGACTTTTAACAGTATAAATATTTTTCAAAAGTCATGTAAGTGATGAGGAACCAAAAAAGGCAGAACTTAGTATTTAAGCTACACATTTGATAGGTTATATTCTAAATATTTAACCAAATTAATTGTCTGTCCTCATTAGTTCTTCCTGGATTCTATGGCATTATGTTCCTGTTCAAGCAAACAAGGAACAGTAACATTCAGTAATTTAACAAACATTTCCTGAAAGCTTATGTAGTGTCTGCTAGGTTCTGATGAATACTAGAGGAGAAAGCACCCTCGCCTTATCCCACTCTCTTAACCATCCACTTCTAGCTGGACTCAAGGGTTTCTCATATATTGCTCTTCCCATTTCTACTATCATTCAGGGGCTCATAGCTTTCACTTAAAGTCTTTCAAAAATATCCTGCTTAGTTTCCCTAAATCAAAGTTTTATGATAAATTTCCTTATTTAACTCTGCATTTAAGGCACTTCATAATGTGGCCAATCTCTCCCATGATGCTTCTGAAAATTATGTGAACCTTTAGAATGCCACTTATTATACCATATTAATACATAACTGTTGTTGTTATGTGCCCTCGGGTTGCCTGCAACTCATAGTGACCCTATGTACAATAGCCATAAACCCTGCTATATCCTATGTCAATCTAAATTGTCTCTGACACACCTACCACCATTAACCCAGTCACTGAATCAATCCATCCCATTGAGGGTCTTCCTTTCCTGCACTGTCCCTTCACCCACCCAAGCATGACCTCCCTCTATAAGCACTGGTTCCACTTTGCAACATGTCCAAAGTGTGTCAGACGAGGTTTCGGAATTCTAGCTTCCAAGGAGCAGGCTGGTCTTACCCTCTCTAGGATGAACTTGTTTGTTCTCCTAGTAGTCCATGGTATATTCAAAAGTCTTCTCTAGCACCACAGCTCAAAGGCATCAATCTCTTATTCTCCCTAGTCATATTGTTTAGCTTTCTGACGCATAGCATGTAATTTAGTACTGCTAAAATACTACTTCAAGGAATGTCCTCTCTAATAATCTCCTACCATCTTTGCCTTTCTTTGTTCCAACAACAGAAAAATGTTGCTTTCCTCCTTTGACGTCCCTTATATCTAGAATCCTCCTCACAGCACACCGTTTCCAGTTTCTCTTATGCTACAGCTACCTGCATTCATCTTACTCTGCTCATCTTCCCTGCCTCTCCAACACACAACACACACACACACTTTGCTGTCTGCTTTCACTTTTTAAGATTGATAAAGCAAAAAAGAAATTTCTGTAACTAATTTTTTTAACTTCCAAAGCAAGTACTATGATACTGAATTTGTAAACCTGGCAGATCAGCAGGGGAATGTAAGAAAAACTTCAGATTCCTAAACTCAACCTTAGATATACACAGTGGCCAGATACTATATCTTTTTAAAACATTTCCTGGGCCCAGATCAAATGAATACAGAACTAAAGGACAACCAGATGCTCTGCTGGAGGAGGAGGGGCAATCTCCTCCTGTACCTGTCAGATCCGATTTGATGGTACACACACAAAATAATAATAATAATAATAATAATAATAATAATAATAATAATAAAACTAAGGGACATATTAAAGGAGAAAATTTACTTAGGCAAGGATTACAAATTAAAATTATGTTTTGATTCAGCGAACTGCATAAGCCATATGGGCAAGAAAACTGTGAGCCTACAGCACCATGACAATGCTCAAGAACCCAATACTAGATCCATGACACCGGATTTTCTTTTTTTTCTTTTTTTTTAATTTTTTATTATTTTGTGTGCGTGTACCGTCAAATCAGATCTGACTGGTACAGGAGGATATTGCGCCTCCTTCTCCGGCAGAGCATCTGGTGGATTCGACCGTGTTCCTCTGGGATTGCAGTGCAGCTTCTTGCCACTAGGCCACCAGAGCTCCCCGACACCGGATTTTCTAGGAGTGAGTTCCAGGTATCTGTCTACAATGCCCTTTTAATTGCAACTAGGGTTGAGAACCTGACTGAGTATAATTCTTTCCACATAACAGCCACTATATATAATAGTTGAAGTAAAGACTTCTAAGCATCAGAAGTCCCTTTAGACAGAAGAAACTTTAGGCAGGCACAAGTCATTTTGGGACACAGGGTCTTTTCTAGCCTCTCAAATCAGAATATTGAAGAAATTATCTTGAGTATTTATTTAAAAAATTATTACGTGAAATCTCAGTTGCCAAAAGCAAAATAACAAATCCACCATAATGTCTTTTAATTCAAATGTGGTATGGCTCACAGTGTTTATGCTATTGTCTAGCCAAACTATTACAAGAAGTAACAGTTAGTCTGTGACTAAACATTCCTATCTGTAAATATATATAGACTGACACTGCTCTACAATCAGAGATTACTTCAAATAGGACATTAACCATTTGTTTCATCTATATCTTTTACTTTTTTGCAAGACAGAATGTGACTAGGATGAGAAAGTTAAAAATTGTGAAAAGACTAGGATATCTAGATAAGAACATCTAATGTTTCAGTTTACACAACTTGTCATCCTAACATATTTAATTTACTGTAAAAATACCTAGCTGAAAAGCACAAAAAAGCAGTTATTTCTGTACTCCCTCAGGTACAAACTTTACTAATGGTTTTAGAATGTCAAATTATATAATACTTTGCTTAAAACAATGATTATTCATTTTGCTAAACATTTTCTATTTAAATACTTCAATAAATAATATAAAATTCAATGGGGGCAAGTTGCTGTTGAATCAATTTTAACTCATGGGAACACAATGGGTACAGATCAAATGCTCTGTAGGGCTATGATTTTTAGAAGCAGATATGCAAGCTTGTCTTCTGGTGGGTTTCGACTATCTATATTTGGGCTGGGAGGCACATGCATAACCATTTGTACCATGATGTAAAAAATTACTCTCCCACCAGCCCCTAGTCTCTATATTTCTTCAATAGCAAACATCAGTTTCTTCCACATAAAGTTATAATAATAAAAGGCTTTTACAATAAAACTCTGAAAATCTCTAGGTTTCCAAAAGTTTTTGTTATTTTAAAACCTAAGACAGGATGTGATGACAGAAGGAAACCACTGGAAAATAATGTTTCATTTACACACATTTCATTTATTAATTTGCAAACTGCCATGCTCTAATTTGGCTATAATCTCTATGCATGTAAGTTACTTATAAATGAGCATGTTTTCCTATGCTCCAAGTCATTTACGTTACATTTTCTACATAACATGATGACTTTGTACAGTTAGGAAATTACTACAATAAACTAGTCTTACCTGTAGTTTCCTTGCACTTTGTTGTTGGCACCTGTCCTTCTCAACAATCTGCTGGTAGAGTTTTGCTTTCAATACACGCAAAGCTATTTCTCTGTTTTTTATCTGTGATCGCTCTTGTTGGCATTCTACTACTAACCCTGGAAAATGATAGTGATCAGAAGTAAGGCAAAGCTTTCTCAAATCAAATGAATATAGAACTGAGGAACATATTAAAGGAGAAAACTACTCAGGCAAAAATTAGAAACGAAAATTATGTTTTGATTTAGCACACTTCATAAACGAATAAACAGTGTATGATAGTAATAGCTGAAGATAGTTGCCAAGATTCTGATGCACTTCCCAGGAAAGCAGCAGCCTCTGAAGACAGCTACACATACTTCCTTACCTCTTCCTGCCAGCTTCTTCAGACATTTGTGCAACTCAACAGAACAAACTGTTGTACACCATCACTTCTCTGTCTTATGCAGGAATTCCCCTTTCACCCTTGAAGTCATGAATACACACAAAATTGAAGTTTTAAAACCATCCTCTATATAAAGACACCAATGGAAAAAGAGCTCTGTAAGGTCTTAAAAAAGAAGAGCCTATAGGGAATCTGACCCTTAAGTTGTATTAAGTTCTAACTCCAGCTAATCATCATATCTAAGCACACACAATTTGGCTGGCCAACTTCTGGACTTGGCTCCAAACTAAAAACTATGAGACTAGGCCTGAAAGAAGAGAATGGCAGAAAAATGAGTGATGGAATGGAGGTTCCAAATTGAAGAGATTTCCCAGCAAGCACATGCAAAGTAGAAGTAACCCTCAGTTCAACCATGTGGCTAACAAGAAGAGGAATTTAGAAAGAAAAGGGCTGTTACAAAGATAGAGGAGGGAGAAAAAACCCAAAATGGATGTCAGAAGAGATGCTGAATGTTGCATTAGAGTGCAAAGAAGCCAAAACAAAGAGAAGAAATGATGAAGTTAAAAAAATGAACAGAAGATTTCAAAAGGCAGCTTGTGAAGACAAAGCCAAGTATTATAATGAAATGTGCAAAGAGCTGGAGTCATAAAATAAAAAGGGAACTCACTCAACATTTCTCAAGCTGAGGAAACTGAGGAACAAATTCAAGCCTTGAGTTACAATACTGAAAGATGCTGTAGTCAAAATCTTAAATGATCCAGGAAACATCAAAAGAAGATGGATGGAACATTATACCATAAAGAAAGGCTTACACAGAGTCACTTCAGGAAGCAGCATATGATCAAGAATCAAGGGCAATAAAGGAAGAAGTTCAAGCTGCTCTGAAGGACTTGGCAAAAAATGAGGCCTCAGGAATTTATGGAATATCAATTGACATATTTCAACAAACAGATGCACTCCTGGATATGCTCACTAGGTTGCATCAAGAAATCTGGAGGACAGCTGTCAGGGTACCTGAGTGGAGATCTGTATTTATTCCCACTTCCAGAAAGGTGATCCAACAGTGTGGAAATTATCAAACAATACCATTAATGTCACATGTAATAAAAATATTGCTTAAGATTATCCCAAAATTGCTAGAACAGTACATCAACAAGAGAACTGCCAGAAATACAAGCCAGATTCAGAAGAGACTGTGGCACTAGGGATATATTATTGATGATATTAGATGGATCTTGGCTGAAATCAGAGAGTACCAGAAAGACGTCTATTTGTGTTGGTTTTTTAAAAATTATTATGATGCAAAGACATTTGACTGTATGGATCATAACAAATCATGGCTAACACTGAAAAGAATAGGAATCCCAGAACACTTGATTGTGTTCATGAAAACTTAGACCAAGAAGGTGCTATCTGAAAAGAGGAAAGGAACACTGTATGGTTCAAAATCAAGAAAGGAGTGTGTCAAGAATGTTTCCTTTCTCCATATGTTTTCAGTTTATATGCTGACCAGATTTTTTTCAGAAGCTGGACTTTGTGAAGAAGAATATGGCATCAGGATTGGAAGAAAGAAGACTCATTAACAACATGTGTTATGCAGATGATATAACCTTGTTCACTAAAAGTGAGGAGGAATTGAAGTCATGCTGTAGAAGATCAAAGACTACAGTCTTCAATATAGATTGCGTCTCAATATCAAGAATATAAAAATCTTCATCACCAGACCAAGAGGCAGCATCATAGTAGATGGAGAAAGGATTGAAATTATTAACAATTACTCTAACTTAGATCCACAAGCAACACCCTTAACATCACTAGTCAGGAAATCAAAAGACAAGCTGCACTGGGAAAGTCTACTGTCAAGGACCTCTGACTTCCAATTTTAACAAGGACAGTGGAGCTCCTTGAATGCCCACCACTTCCTTCACTGTCCTCTGCTAGACTAACAGTAGTCGGTAGTTTTGGTCAGAGATGGGGGAGGGGGTTAGCACCAGGACTTGGGGTTTCTGTGCTGTGTGACACAGGATGTAAGTAACAATCTGGAACTCCTAACTTACACTATTCTAGGAAGTACAGTAATGATTTGTGTGCAAAGATTTGAAATTTTTTAACATTAAAAGTACCAAGTTCCTGAAATTCAATAAAATATTTTTATTAATTAAAAAAAAATTGAATTGGCAAAAGCTGTGTGACAGATATACTTAGAACAACAAAAACAAATCAACAAAAGAGAAGCTGGTGAGGCTGCCCCTACACACCAAATCCTTCCTGAGATTTGGTTCCTTGCCTTGGAAGGTTGTTGTTGTTAGATGCCATTGAGTCAACAGTAATTCATAGGAACCCTATGAACAGCAGATCTGAACCAATCTTGCACCATCATTTCACAGAACATCTCAATTAGTTGGGCTAATCATGTATCTAGTGCTTCTGATGTTCCTTCTAATTTTCTGCACAGTGACTAGGGTCTAAAAATGTAGCAAGTAGGCTCCAAGGGACAATCAGTGGTTTTTGTTCACCTGGAGCAACAGAGGTAGTCAGGTACAGAAAAAGGAAAGGGCACTGACTCCATGAAAAACTGCCTCCTGTGCCATGAACCAGAAGAACCAGAGGGTGCCCAGCTACCACTGCTGAACACTTGGATCAAAGATTCTATAGCAGAGTCTTTATCAAAAGAGGGGAAATGCAGACCAGAACTTAACATTTTCATAGAATTTAGACTTTCTAGAGCTATAGATTGGAAGGAGGAGTGGCATCCACTTCCATAATAGCTTGCCTCCAAAAACCCTATGAACCTGGAGAGAGGATGAAAGGCACCCAAGCGTCGAGGACTCTCCTTCATAGGGTCACTATGAGTCACCTGCGACTTGACGCACTTAACAACAACAGCTATAGAGGCTGGATGAACCCCTGAAATTATCACCTTGCGTTAATCCTTAAACCAAAAATATTATCTGAGGTCTTCTTAGTTTACTTTAAGACCAAATCCATTGCTGTTGAGTTAACTGAGACTGATGATGGCTGCCCTCATTGGGTTTCCAAGACAAGGGGAGACTGCTTCATCTTTGTCCTTTGGAGTAAGAGGTAGATTCAAAAGCAGCCCAACATGTAATCCACTAAACTACCAGGGTCCCTTTATTTAGCTTAACTCCTAACAAATGTCTGCCTTGAGCATTGTTAAGTATCATCAAGTCAAAAGTACCTCACAGCTGACCCTCCGGTGGGATGCCAGAGGTACTAAATCACATGGGAGGAAACTGCTCAGCTTTCTTCCGTGGAGCAGCTAATGAATGGGACCACATGGTTTTGGGTTGGAGTCGGTAGCACAAATCCTTACCACTAAGGCCCCAGAGTTCCCTGACTTGAGCATTAGGCTTATTTACTATTAATGTAAAATATTAGCTAACTAACTGCCTTAGGTGGGTGTGAGATTATGTAAATAACTTAGGGAAAGGTGAGGATGGTTCCACAATTTGAAGGTAGTCAATGTTATTAAATCATACGTGTAGAATGTAGAAACTGTTGGCGTATATTCTCACCACCAACAAAAGATGTTTAAAAATGGGTTAGTAAGATTTGATCTGGAGAGGTTTTTGAAGGCCTCATTTAAATTGAAGAACAAGATCTGTGTAGTTAATCAAAGAATTTGGCCCAAGGTAAATTTGGAAACAAAATGATTACTTTTATTTTATTTTTTTTTAAAAAGCAGGTAATTTATCCTTTAATATGTTTTGAACTATTCTGGCTCGATTGGGAGAATTCTCCCATGTGATTTACTGCCTCTGAAAACCCACTGGAGGGTCAGTTGTGAGCTGCTTTTGACTCAATGGTACATAACAACAATGCTCAAGGCAGGCATCCTATTTTTTCCCCTAATTTTTACTTATTTGTTTATTTTATTTTCTTGTTGTGTACCACTGAAACATACCCAACTTGCACAGGAGGAGATTGCCCCTCCCCCTCCAGTTGAGCATCTGGTGGATTTGAACTGCAAGCCTTCAGGATTGTAGTGTAGCTTCTTTGCCACTAGGCCACCAGAGCTCCCTCTTTTCTCTAAGTTTTTGAAAACTCATGTTAAGATAATTCTTCTTGTTCAAGGTTGTTTATAAAATAAACCAATGACCAATACCACCAGCCTTACTCCAAACACTACGAAAACTAAGAATTTTTTATTTGCTTAAATAAATTATAGTAATTGTTATATGCCATAAGTTGCAAAAGACTCACAGCTGATTGAGGCTGTAAATCAGTCTTCTGACTTGATGGCAATGAATTGAGTTTATTATTTTAACAAGGTAGCATGGTAAGGTGGATCTTAAATCTCACCCCTTGTGAGGCTATGAAAACACCAGCATAGACACAAAGATGCGGAAAAAGACATGATATGAAAAGAGACCAACACAACAGTTGTATCTACAAGCCCAGGAACCCCCAGGACCACAGGTTAATAGAAGTTGAAATAGATTTTAAAAAAAAAGAAAAGAAAAGAAAAGAAAAAAAGAACTTTCCAACATTCATTGCTTGAATTCAGACTTCTGGCATCCTCAAATGTGAGAAAATGCTGGTAATTTGTAGTAATTCTGTTAACAGCAACACTGTTAGTTAAGACAGGCAGGGCCTTAGCTCTAAAATGCCAGTCTTACCTTTAGAGGGTACAAGGAACCAAACACTAACTCAGGATTATTTTCTTCCAAATGCTGAATCAAGCTTTATAAGTGAAGAAGTTGTTAGATGTATATAAGAAAAAGGGTACGCTTACCTGTGGGGAGATGGACAAGTCTGACAGCACTGTCAGTTGTGTTAACATGCTGTCCTCCTGCTCCTTTCGCTCGAAATGTATCTACACGCAAATCCTTGAGGTCCACTTTCACATCTACCTAGAGAAAAACGCATAGTATAAGTTCACAATACTTGGTTCCCTGCACTCAATGAAGGTAATGAGTATAATGGTTCACTACAGTTTGTGAACACTTTAAAACTTTATGTATTCCAAGATTTAGGATGAACTGTACTTTTCTGTGTTAAAATAAGCCACAGCCATAAAACAAAGAAGAAACTTACACCAAAGAATCACTAACATCCTGTTCCAATGGCATGCTTTTTTTTTTAACACTGACTTTGGATGTAAGGGGTTCACTGAGTTATCAAGTATTTCAAGTTTCATCTTTTAGCATTCTAAAGATGCTGTTGTTGTTAGGTGCTGCTGAGCCAAGTACAACTCATAGTGACCCTATGAACAACAGATAAGAGCCCTGTCTTATCCTGTGTCATCCTCAAATCTCTGAAATTCTCAAGCCCATTGCTGCAGTCACTGTGTCAATCCACTTGGTTGAGGGTCTTCCTCTCCTTTGCTGTCCCTCCACTTTCCAAGCATGATGTTCCTCTCCAAGGAATAACTTCTTCAAGGAAAACGCCCAAAGTATGTGAGACGAAGCTTCATCATCATTGCCTCTAAGGAGCACTCTGGCTGCACCTTCTTCAAGACATATCTGTTTGTTCTTCTGGCAATCCTGGGATATTCAGCACTCTTCTCCAATACCACAGTTCAAAGGCATCAGTTCTTCTGCATCCTTCTTTATTGTCCAGCTCTCAGATGCACAAGACTGAAAAGACCCTGCGCTGAATCAGGCATACCTGTCTGTATCCTCAAACTGATATCATTGCTCAATAATATGGAGAGGTCCCCAACTACAGGGTCTCCCAGTGCAATATGTCTCTTGATCTGCTGCTGGTACCAAGTGTATTTACTGTGGGTCCAAGCAAGATGAAATGGTTGACATTGTCAACCTTTTCTTTATCTATCGTGATATTGCCTATCAGTCCCCTGGCAAAGATTTCTGTTTTCTTGATGGTGAAATGCAATCTATATTGAAGGCTGCAGTATTTAACCTTCTGCAGCAAATACTTCAAGCCCTTTCATTTTAAGCAAGCAAAGTTTTGTCATTCACCTAACAAGATTATTGATGAGTTTTCCTCCAACCCTAATGCCACATTCTTCATATAGTCCAGCTTCTGGAATGACTTGCTCAGCATACAGACTGAATAGGTATGGAGAAAAATATTCATTCTTGATCCACATCTTTCCTGATCTTAAACTATGCAGTCTTTCTTTGTTATATTTGGACAACAACTTCTTGGTCTATGAATAGGTTTCACATGAACATAATGAAGTGTTCAGGGATTCCCAATGCTACCCATAACTCATTATAATTCACATAGTCAGATGTCTTTTCATAGTCAATAAAACAAACATTTTTTTCTCTCTTTCTTTAAAAACTCATTATAGACTTATGGATTTGCTTTTTAATTTCATTACTTATAGTCATCATTATTATTTTTGGATGCTCTGATCCTCCACTTTGGCTAGAAGTAGTAGTGGACAAAATTAGGAAACATATGGGTTAGGATTTGTTTTTTTTAGTGAGGATAAAGACGTTGTGTATTCATAATTTTTTTTGCTGCTAAGATTAGTAGGAAACATGCTTTTAAAGTGTTAAGTGTTACCTATGAGGTACAATGCAAGAAGAAAACATCTTTCTTGTATTCTCTTTTTTCAGACAAGATTCATTTGCCATCAGCAATGATATCCCTAGTTGCACAGTTTTCTGAATCCAGCTTGAATTTCTGGTAGTTCCCTACTGATATACACTTCCAGCTGTTGTTGAATAATCCTCAGCCCTCTATGAGGTGGATTGATTCAGTGACTGGGATAATTGGGATGGGAGTGTCAGAGACAGTGCGATTGGCACAGGACAGAGCGGAGTTTAGGGCTGTTGTACATAGGGTCGCTATGAGTCGCAAGCGACTCAACGGCACATAACAACAACAACAACAACATGATATTAATGATATTGTTCAATAATTCCCACACTCTGATGGATCACTTCTTTTAACTATAGGAACCACGACAGATCTCTTCCAGTCACTTGTCTAGGTAGATATCTTCTACAATTCTTGGCATAGGCTACCTGGCCAACAGTACATCCTAGTATAGTTAGCAGCTAAGCATGAAATCATTGCACCCAAGGGCTTCCTTCTTATGTAGAAAAAGATAAATACAAATGCAAGGAGCTGATGTGGTGGGAGGTAAAACTTGTAATTTAAAAACATGTGTTTCCTAGCTTTGTCCAATGATACTATTAGCCAAAGTGGGTTATACATCCACAAAATAAAAGATTATAACTCACTGAAATAAAAAACAAGCCCATGGGTCAGATGGAAGGAATATAGAGTGTCAAAGTAACAAAAAGAACTGGTTGACACAGAAATATATTAGGAAGTAGTGTATGATCATGAGCCAACAGTAATCAAGGAGGAAGTTAAGTTGTACTGAGGGCACTGACAAAAAATAAGGCCCTAGAAATTGCCCTGGATATGCTCACTAATCTGTGGCAAGACATTTGGAAGATTCCTGGCCAACTGCCAGGAAGAAATCCTATTAATTCCCATTCCTCCCAAATGGTGATCCAACAGAAATGTGAGAATTATTGAACAATATCATTGATATCACATGCAAGTAAAATCTTGCTGAAGATTATTAAAAAACAGATAGAACAGTACATGGCCAGGGAATTTTCAGAAATTCAAGTTGGATTCAGAAGAAGCTGTGACACAATGGTCATCACTATTGATGTCATGTGGATCTTGGCTGAAAGCAGAGAGTACCACAAATATGTTTATCTGTGTTTTGATGACTCTGCAAAGGCATCTGTCTGTGTAGATCATAACATATTATTACTAACATTGAGAAGAATGGGAATCCCAGAACACTTCATTGTGCTCATGTGAAGCCTATACATGGACTAAAAGAGCTGTTGTCCAAACAGAACAAGGGAACGTTACAAGGCTTAAAAGCAGCAAAGGTCGTGCTGCAGGGATGTACCCTTTCTCTGTATCTATTTGATCTGTATGCTGAGTAAATCATTCCAAAAGCTGGACTGTAGGAGGAAGAATCCACCATCAGACTCAATTGCTGTGTTATGCAGTTGACACAACTCAGCATATAGAAAGAGAAGAGGACTTAAACACTTGCTGCAGAAGACCAAAGACCACAGCCTTCAATATGGATTACAAAAATCTTCATCACTGGAAAATTAGGCAGTATCCTGATAGATGAAAAAAAGATCTATTTTACTTGAATCCACAACCAATAATTATGGTAACTGCAGTGAAGAAATCAAAAGAGGCGTTGCATTGGGAAGGTCTCCTGCCAGATTTCTCCAAAGTGCTAAACAACAATTATGTTCCCTTAAAAACCAAGATGCGGAGGAGCTCTGGTGGCCTAGTGGCAAGAAGCTGCACTGCAATCCCTGAGGAACACGGTTCGAATCCACCAGATGCTCTGCCGGAGAAGGAGGCGCAATATCCTCCTGTACCAGTCAGATCTGATTTGATGGTACACGCAGTCAAAATAAAAAAAAAAACAAAAAAACACAAAAAACCAAAAAACAAACCAAGATGCACCTAGTCAAAGCCATGGTCTTTTAAATGACTTTTTAAAAAGAGAGAGAGGGAAAGGAAGGAGTGAGTGTGTCTGAGAGAAACAAAAGAAAGAGGGAGAGAGAGAGAGAAAGTGGGTAGGGAGGAAGATTCTTTGTCCATGAATGCAAGTTAATACGTGTACATGGGATTAAGGAATTAGACAGTCACCATTTTCCAACTCCAGACTAAACAACTGATTCTGACAAGAATCCATACTGGTTCCTTGCTACCTAAATATAACACTTTTTCATTAAAAATGAACAAGTTAGGTAGGTTGTTGTTGTTGTATGTGCCATCGAGTCACTTGCAACTCATAGTGACTCTATGTACAAGGGCCCTAAACCCTAGCCTATCCTGTGCCAACCTCACTGTCTCTGACACACCTACTTCCACCTCCCCAGTCACTGAGTCAGTCCATCCTTCTCTCCTGTGCTGTGCCTCCACTCTCTCAAGCATGACGTCCTTCTCCAACAACTGGTCCCTCCTTACAACATGTCCAAAGTAAGTCAGACGAAGCTTCAGAATCCTTGCCTCCAAAGAGCAGCCCAGTTTCACCCTCTCCAGGATGAACCTGTTTGTTCTCCTAACAGTCCATGGTATATTCAACACTCTTTACCAGTACCACAGCTCAAAGGCATCAATTCTGTTTCTAAAATCCCTAGTCACTGTCCAGCTCTCTGATGCATAGTACACAATTGCAAAAATAGCCAGGATCAGGCACACCTTAGTCTCCAGCCTGATGCTGTTGCTCTTCAGTACTCTAGAGAGGTCCCTGACAGCTGACTTTCCCAATGCAATTTGTCTTTTGATTTCCTGGCTGCTGTTACCAAGAGTGTTGACTGCGGAGCCAAGTAAACTAAAACTGTTAACTATCTCAATCTCTTCACCATCCATACTGATGCTGCCAATTGGCCCAGTGGTGAGAATCTTTGTTTAGGTAGGGTAGGGTTTCAAAATTAAAAATTTGTAGAGCCAATATTCTCTGAAAATCTAGAGGAACATCTGGATTATGCAAATAACTTGATGTAGTAATAGTAATGGACTGCCAAACAACAACAACAAAGAAATCTGTCTTGAAAGAAATGCAGGCAGAGTGCTCCTTAGAAGCTAGGAGAGTTCGCTCATGTTGTCAAGACTAGTCTTTGAACATCAGGCTTGGAAAGGTGGAGGATCAGAGAAGGGGAGGAAGACCCTTTGTGAGATGAACTGGCACAGTGACTACAACAGGCTTAATATTTAATCACAGTAGATATTGTGAGGATGGCATAGAACTGGGCAGGATTTTGATCTGTTGTATGTAAGGCCACTATGAGACAGTCTGTTCGAAAGCCCCTAACAATGGTAATAGTAAATAAAAAAAGATAAAGAAAAAAAAGAATCCATACTGAATGT